TGTTACGTGTTCCTTCCTCTTCCTCGCTCCTTCCCTTGGGCACTTTGTGCCTTTGCACAGCGACGCCCGTGGTTGAGCGCCGAGTCCCAGCTCTGCTGAGGCCCCGGCCCCGTCGCTCTGCTGAGGGGCCGCTTTGCAGGTGGCGGCTCTTCCCTCGCTCAGTGTGATGGGGAAGGCTGCCTGAAAGCAGTGAAGATTTTCAAAATGAAGAACCACGTTTTTCAGCTATCTCCTGGTGTGTCCCCTGCTAGTCTGCATAGTGATGTCAACCGTTACAAAAATTATAGAATAAATGTGGTGAGGAAATTTCCAGACATTTCTTTATCAAGAAAGCCATGTTTTAGATGGCATTTATGTGGAGAAGAAAGGAAGAATAGTAAGTAGGACTTTGTTTTAAAGAAAAGATGCTTATTCTTTATTCTTGTGATCTGTTGTATACTCCTATTGGTGATAAATGCATCTGTAAGGCTTATGCAGATAACTTTTTTTAATCTGCTGGGATGAAGGCTGTGTTTTGTTTTCCAAACACTGCTGAAGTCTGTACGTTTTTCTTTCCGCTTCTCTTGTTTCCCGACTGGGGGAATTAGCCACGGAGTGATGTGAGCAGTAACTTTGAGCCAAATCCAGATGTAAAAATGTCTTGCTCCTGGATGGGACATGTGAGGGAGACCAGCTGCTTTCCCGAGGCAGCCTCTAGCGTCCGTGTGATCCCGCTGCCTTGGAGTCGGAGCAGGATGTCTCCTGGGGGATGCTGAATAAGACACCATTTAGTACAGCCCTCTCTCTGCCTCTCTTCCTGCGGCGTTTCTTCCTTTCTTATTTTTCATTTAAAGTTTATATATATATATATATATATATATTTTTTTTTTTTAGGGGGATTTTCTTCTATTGAGGGAGGATTTGTTCATCTTGTCTTGTAGACAATCTGCAGCCTCCTGCATCTGCAGCCCTCTGCATTTCATTGCACAGTTTGTGAAGGGTCTCATTTGGGGTGTACGCCCGTGTTGGAGTCATCATGTTTTTGGCTGCTGTTTTCAGTGGGGCTCTGTCCTGTGCTGCCTCACGCTGCCTGTTTTCTGCCACTTCTCTCAAGTGTTGTGTAGCAGCGGTTAGTTGCCCTAAACAAAATCCTGGTTTTGGTGGGGAGAAAATTCATACTATTTGCTTTGAATGCTGACTGTTAGATATCTGGCTGTCTCACGTTAGTCATGGCACCGTATCCGTTACTTCTTTTTTAATGGTGGATTTAAACTTTGCAGGCTCCTACCCTTGTCTTTCCCACCCAGCCTCTGCAGCGGTGCCRGCGGTTTCCTTTCTGGCTGGGTGCTTAGGTGTGCCGAGCATCTCTGCATGGTCAGGCTTTGCTGCAGTRCTTGCTTGTCACAAAACATGATTCTGTGGAATTTCTTGGGACTTTCTGATTTTTTGGGGGATCATTTTCCACAAGCTCATTAGCAGAGGAACTCTGCTCTGTCCTGCCCTCACTGGATGGGGTGGCAACAGCTGGCACCATGGTGGAGCTGACTGCTGAGGAGGAGCCRTGAGCAGCACGTGTTGCCACCCAAGTGGGTCTCAACAGGGTGTAAGGCCAGCACTGATCTTAAGCAGAACACTAGGGCAGCCCTGGGCATTGAGTGAGGCTTAGAGGATGGACCCTTTTGCCCCTTTTGCCCTTCCATGAAGATACATGCAACAAAATTCCTGGAGAATTCCCTGGCTGTATTGAGAGAAGGAGGAGGCTCTGGAAGTACACGAAAACTTGTGCTGTGACATCAGGTTTTTTACCTGTGAAGGTTTAAGGGCAGTGAATAGTGCCAGTCAAGATTCAGGGTGTTTGGAAACATCTTAATATTGAAATCCAAGCAGAAAATGTTCCTCCTTGGACATCGCTGCATGTGTGTGGAGCCTCAGAGTTCGGGCAGCACAAGAGAAACGGCATCTTGCATGAAGAAGCCCTTGGACAAGAGCTGCTGCTCTTGTTCCTCTGCACTGGTGCTGTGGTATGTCCAAGCTTAAGTYGGAGATCTGGAACAGGCTAAGACTAGATGTCAGGAACTTTCGGAGCTGTTCTGCTCATTCCTTGAAAGTTTGTATCAGACCAGACCAGGTCTTTTGCACGTGCCAACCAGCACAGGGTTCTGCTCGTCTGTGTTTTGGTATTTTGGTATCGAGCTTTTAGGGCTAAATGCACCCAGGTAATGAGGTAATGGGGCAAACCAGCAGTACAGATTTAAAATGCTTCCTATTAGGTGTGTGTATGCATTGGTAAGACTTGCTATTTTCAATGCAGGCTACAATAGTAAGTTTTGGATCTCTGTGTTTGAAACCAGGTTTAAAAAACCCTTTTAATTATGCAATTTGAATCCTCAGTCTGTCTAAAAGTTGTGTTGAATCCTGTATTTTCTTATATAAAGTAATACTCTGTATGCCAGAAGCTTGTTTGTTCATGTGCATGCCTGTCCTCCTTTCTGTGAGTCTTGCTTTGCAAGTTTCAAAACATTAATATTAAGCAAAACTTTTTAACAAGCAAAAAAATTTTAACGAGAAATTAATGTTTCACTTTCTGCTTTTCTGCAGCCTTGTCCTGTGGAAACTGTTTCACACTTCCTGCAGTTTAGTCAGTGCCTATGAGTCAAACGGGGCACTGGGCAGAGGAGTCAGGGCTGTACTAGGTGACAAGTGAGAATTTTCTTATTAAGACCTATGAACTTAAATTTTATTTTCATGTATCTGTGTCTCATTGCTAATATCTGCAGTATATTTTTCATCATAGCTGTGTATCTTAAATATAGAATATGTGGTGGGACAGTTCAGCATTTCTCTTTTCCTTCTTTGTGTTCTCTGGCTTATCTGTAGTTTTCATGCTATATTTTCCTTTCCAAAAAAAAAAAAAAAAAGATATAAAGCTGTTTGATATTGGATATGCCTTCATGCCTTTCTTTAACTGTAAAAGGATTTGTATTAATCCTAGGAGTGTATGTTGGGGTAGTTAATCTTGTTTCAGCATTAAAGCCGTGCAAGGTTCTCATTCACGCACAGTTTGTGGCTTCTCCCCATCCCTGCCCAGGTCATATTTTTTACTGATCCGAGATAAAACTGTACATGGTTCTTTTGGAGTTCTTCACTGCAGGATAGATTGAGTGATCCTGTACATTTAGGATAGCTATTGTATAGTGCAGCCCTATATATATTTCCCTGCCTCCATGAATTGCATTCCAGGTTGTTCCGAAGTGGTTTTACGGTTTCTTCAACCACAGATGTAACTGAGGAGATCCGAGTCTTGCTTCATATCCCTTAAGTTAACAGGACCATGTCTGACACTGTAAAGCTGCGTTTGGATTTGCCATCCTCCTGGCACCTATAGGTCAACCTCTGTGAATGAATTAATGTACCTGAGCCCCTTAAAACCCTCCTTGTCAAGCTCTTATGCGGCACTTTGGTGAGAAGGTCCTTGGCCAACTGGTACGACCTGGTAGCAGGCTCAGTTGAGGGCAATGTGATGTTCGCTATAGGTGACACTGCGCGGAGGCGTCGTGGCTTTGGGGTGCGGGTGCCRGGGCGTTTGAGGGCTGCTCCGTTGAGGAGGATTCAGGAACATCAGGCGGGATGGTGACAGCCGACAGGGTGGTCCCTAGGACCATGATGGTTTCCCTTGAGAAGTCTCTGTGTGGTGACTTYAGAGAACTCTCTTATTCTCCCACATAGAATCATAGAATCTGGAGTGCTCCCTCAGCAAGTTTGCTGATGATACCAAACTGGGWGGAGTAGCTGATAGCCCTGAGGGCTGTGCTGCCATCCAGAGGGACYTGGACAGACTGGAGGACTGGGCGGCGAGAAACCTCATGAGGTTCAACAGGGGCAAGTGCAGGGTCCTGCACTTGGGGAGGAATAACCCTGGACACCAGTACAGATTAGGRGTGGACCTGCTGGAGAGCAGTCCCGCAGAGASGGACCTGSGTGTCATGGTGGACGACAAGTTGACCATGAGGCAGCAGTGTGCCCTGGTGGCCAAGAAGGCCAAYGRGATCCTGGGGTGCATTAAGAAGASCRTCTCCAGCAGGTCGAGGGAAGTGATCATCCCCCTCTACTCAGCCCTSGTGAGGCCACATCTGGAGTACTGCGTCCAGTTCTGGGCTCCCCAGTACAAGAGGGATGTGGAGCTGCTGGAGAGAGTCCAGCGCAGGGCTACCAGGATGATCAGAGGCCTGGAACATCTGCCCTATGAGCACATGCTTTGGCTTTGATTTAAAGCCCTCATAATGAATGTGTCAATGCAAGAGCAGAGTGTTTTAAGCAAGGTATAGCTGCAACCTTTTAAAATATGGCTATACTGCTAGTCTGGCACGGGCAAACAGCAGGTATCGTGGAGATCATCTTTGTGCAGATCCATGCAGAAAGGGCTGCTATATTTAACTCTATCAGGAGGCCTTTTTAAAATAAAACATTATATGGTCATCATATATATAAAACATTATATACAGTCATCTCTAAATGAAAAATAATGATTCTCTTAATTGCATATATTACAACTAAAAGCTGCAAAACTTTCATGGACTTAATTTTTGTTAGGGATTCTGTTTACTGTTTTTTTAGTAGGTTTGTTTTGTGTTCAGTAATACTTGGTCTGTTCTGAAATATCTTGGTAGGGCTCARATTTGCTGTTTTATTATGCTTTGGTACAGGCTACTCTTGTGTTTTCCTCTACAGGTTTTAATTCTGTGCAGGTTACTTTATCTATGATATTTCTAGTTAAAAGCAGGAACCTAAAATTAAACAAGCTTCTTGCTTGTCTTCAAAATTGTAATTAAGCTCTAACACAGTATTAATTTCTAGTTCAAAACAGCTTAAATTCTTGCATATCCTTAGTCTTTTTTTTTTCTTCTAACTTGCCCCTTATCCTAATTTTTAAGTCCATTTCTTCAGTTTGTTGTTCTGTTACTGAAGAGATGAGGAATCTGTATTGACTTAATGATAACTTTGTCTTTTTGTTTGCAGATAAGGCCATGTGAGTGTGCTGGCAAGTTGTAGATCAACTGTCTTCTCAAACTTGTGGACAGGAAGGATATTCTCTCCTCCTATTTTATTTTTAATGGTAAGTTGTTCAAGGAGGCTCCTGCTTTTATTGAACTTACCTTTTTAGTTCATATTTTTGAATCTATCATGAATAACTTTGAAAATTGTTGTAAATCTTTAAACTGAAGATTCAGTGATGAAGTTTGGAAACCATCCAGAAGGATTTGAGTTAAGATTTAGAAAAATAATTTTGTTTCTCTGAAGATGAAGATTTGTGGTTGAACTTCATGATCTTGAAGGTCTTTTCCAACCATAATGATTCTGTTCGGTATTTTAGACCCTGAAATCAATGTCAAAATCTCTGCTAGACCAGTATCCACTTAAACACTAATCTTATTGTGCAGAAAACAGAAATAAATTTGTTTTATTCCTGGATGTTGATAATATACTGGATTTAAAATCTGCATCTGTTAATTACTTTTGCCCTGGGTAATCTGTACTTTGCTGACATGTCATCTTAGAGAGAGATTTAAGCTAAATCTGCCGAGGTTAAATGTTTGACTATTTGCTTCAAATCTCTTATTATCAGTTATACTTCTTATATTTATTGATATTAAATCGGTGGTTAGGAGGAAGCTTCATTTGGTAAAATCTTCCTTACTGTGCTGCCCCATGCACACACCCCCCGGAGATTCCTAGAGGGGGGAATAACTGTTGTGTGGTGGGAGAATGAGAGCAGCTATGTAGTTTATCCGTGGTCTTGTGAGAGAAGACGTGCGTGGCCCTAGATGGGGAGAGCTCCTGCCAAAGTTCAGACAATTTAGTTAGCATTACTAAAGCTTTCCCCTCTTGAAACAATGTTAAGAAACTCTTTTTGTGGGCATGCTTGAAGAAACCTTACTTTCAGGTATTTTCAGGTGGAGATATGAGGAAGCAATATGGCATATGAAGAGTCATGTGGTCAATAGCTCATGTGGTCAACAGAAGGAAAAGGATGGAAGAAAACCCATTGGCTCACTTATTCTCTCAGTAATTCCACTTTTTGTAATTAAATAATAAGATAGCTTGATTGTTTTCTATAGAGCCATCTAGCTAGGCTTGAAGTTTACTAGCAAACTAAACACATGCCCAAAGGATTGAGTTCCCTAAGGAAATACCCACAGGCCCTGGTCTTCTGTGGTGGTGCTGGGAGCAGCGGGGTCTGGGTGCACTAGTGGCCACTGTGAGGTTGCTGAGGTCCCTCTGCTTCTCCTTGCTCCTTACCAAGCCTTCAGGTTTGCTGTGATTAACCCTTGATCACCCAGCACTGTAGGTACTTGCTTTCTTCCACGATGGGCTTTGGTTGCAAGCACCAGTGTGCTGAGATGTGGTGGTGTCTTGAAAAAGGTCTTAAAAATGGGATCTTAGGGAGTGAGCTTTGTTTTTGTATTCCCATCAAAGTGATGCCTTAAACAGAGAGGAACACAAAGATACCAAAAACTATTTGCAGTAAACATAATAAAATGCAACTTGGTTGAATACCGATCATTCATGTATCACAAATGTTCTCAGCTGGCATACAATTTGCAAACCACCTAGTCAATGAAATGGCAGCCCTATATTCAAACGAATCGCTCTATATTGCAGAAAATATTATTTTTTCTTCCCCAAATTTCTTCTTTGAAGCTTTTCATTGTAGTGAATAAGAATAAAAATATATTTTAATGATTTAATTATTTGATTWGGCATGTATGTTGAGCCATTGTCATTGTAAATGAAGTCCTTGTCACTTGAATTATAGTTGTGCCTCTTTTTTCTTTTTCTTTTTTTTTCCCCCTCAGGATATCATAGGATATTTTAGGATATGAAACTAGCAATTCCTTACTATACCATTTTTATATATGTCACTATGCACTATATATGCCCTCTTTTTCTAAACCTTTGCTATGATCATACRATACTAGACAACAAATGTCTACTGCAGAGAATGTTAGAGAGCGTGTAGTCAGGAGAGAAATACCAAATAGAGGGGCTGGAAAAGCATCCTGATGTTTACCAGTCAGAAATGTCCATGTGCCAGGGGGGCTGAAAAGCTCCCTTGTCATTGCACGTAAGCAGATGGAAGAAATGCGTGGTTACAGCTAGTTGGGCTCTACCTGTAGGGCTAAATGTCACATACTCAGTAAAAGCTAAATTTGTGGTTGCTTTATAGCTAAAACTTCCAGTAATCAGAAGTATTTCTGACATTTAGAAATTATTCTGACATAAAGACATATATCGTTGGTCATGGATAAGTTGAATTATTTGTAGACTCTTTGCCTCTTATGTGAGTTTTTAAGAATATTAACCCTATCCTTAATGGGTGATAGATCCATAGAATGATTCATTAGCTCCTATCCTTGATGTAAAGCACATAGTCAGGACACGTTTCCTTCAGATTTGCTTCCAAGGAGAGAAGTTTGGCTTTTTCCAGAAGGAGAAACTGGTAGCTTTTCCAGAAGGAGAAACTTTGAGAACTGGAGAGAGAGATGGGAAAGAAGAGGTGAGGCAAGAGAGAAACAGGCTTCTGGAGAGGGGCAGGAGACTTTTGGACTATTCAGCCACCCAAAGGGTGAAGAGCACTAAATTCATGGGAGTGAGTGGAAGAAGCAAACAGGTGATCTCGGATTTATTATTTAAAAAAAAAAAAAAAAAAGTGACACGAGAGAGAAGGTGGCCCAGGATCCTTGCATTGTACAAGTGTTAAAGTCAAAATGCAGTGGAGCTGGTTTGGGGAGAGACTGACTCTAAATTTGATAGAGAAGCCTCTTCTCAGATTTTGGTCTTATTTGAGACGTGCTTCATTTTCGTAGAGCATCCTTTCTTGTTTCCTGTCTGATTTTCTTATTAGAAGAGGCTGAGTATTTGGGTTCAGCTGTTGGCTGTATTGGATGACAACTCTTCAGTGTGTATCTAATTTTGATTCTTGGAGCTGGGTGACTTTATACTTTTAAATTGCAGCCTGACAAAATGGAATTGATGTTCATACCCAAGGAGGAGTAATTTGGTGAATCTGACATCAGTGCAAGGAGAAGTTTAGCAAGCCCATCCGTTTAAAAATGGCAATATAAACACATACAGAAATATTCAGTGTTATGACTGTTTGAAACTACGTGGGCAATTCMGTGCCACGTTGGTGCTGCAGCTGAGCACAGTCATTGGCCTCCTGTCTGAACCGACTGCGGCCGTGATTGGCATCGTAGTAATTTCCCTACTGAATTATGCAGTTAGTGAGCAGGGATCTGTTTGAAGATGAGCTTTCAGTCTTGGCTGCCTGCAATGATTAACTACATCAGTTTCTAAATTTAACTGATGTAGTTAAATTGCTTTTTGAACGGCACGTAGATTAGTCTCCAATGGCTTGATTTTTCATACATGCAGCACGTACTCCCTGTAGATTACATGGACTATTTTACAGTGTAATTTAAAGCAATGTATGCATTGATTGATCTGTTACATAATTCAGAGGAGGGTGGGGAAGGTGCATGCAGTCCTACATAACTCTATTTAAATTTTGTTCTCTGAGGATCAAGGTCAATGCCTGCATGTGCCTAGTGTCAGTTTAGGAGTCCATGTAAACTGTGGTTGCCAGTGCACAAGTTTTGCCCAGTTTGGTGTCACCCTCCAACAGGATCCCCGGCAGAGCAGCCGCGTTGCCTCGTGGCACGTTAGTGCAGATGTGACAGCAGCAGTTGCATCCCTGCTTGGAGCACTGTCCCAGATCCCTTCCTCTCCCATTGTGGGACTTGTCCAACTCAATGGTATTAAATAGTACAGCATTTCACAGAATCACAGACTGGTTGAGGTTGGAAGGGACCTCTAGAGATGATCTAGTCCAACCTTCCTGCTCCAGCAGGGACACCCAGAGCACGGAGCACAGGGTGGCAGCCAGRCAGGTTGGGAAGATCTCCAGAGAAGGAGACTCCACAGCCTCCCTGGGCAGCCTCTTCCAGGGCTCCGTCACCCTCACAGTGAAGTAGTTCTTCCTCAGTCTTTCCTCATGGGAAAATCATCTTACAGGAATACATTTGTTGAAGGAAAAGAGGAAGACCTGACTCTAACGTGCATTAATGAGGGGAGTCCTGCCTTGTTCCTAGAACTGATCCTGCTTTTTAAGTGGAGGCTGAAATTCCTTAGTGGGGTTGTAAGACCTGAAGTCAGTGAAATGAGTTTTAGCCAGGTGGTGAAGGTGGAAGTGAACTGCTACTGCAAGCAGTGACTGGAGGCAGGTGCTTAAACACTTGAAATGGGGGCAAGGTGGGGAATAGAGTTTGGGAAAAGTCAGCAAAGATGCCCAATACAGTTAGAAAATAGTGTCATGATATTAAATTAAAAAAAAAAAAAAAAAAAAAAGGGAGAGCAGGTGCTGATTATCCCATTTCATCGTTTCTGAGAAACTTTTGTTTTAAAAGGTATACATTTCACTTTTAAGGGAAAACTATTTCAGTACCTTAATCACCATTTTTCTTTTATGGGGTTTATATAGGTGACTCAAGCCATAAAGGTGAGATTGAGGTGGATGCTATTTGCATCCAGTGGAGACTTCGTGTAGGTCACTTGAGTAAAGGAAAGTTGGGATAAACCATCAGGTCCGATCAGTTAAAGATTAAATATATCTGGGCTTTGAGAAAACTGTAGGATAATGTGAAGCTTAAACTTACAGAAATATTAGTGTTTTCCATTAACTGTTTTTTTTTCCCACAAGTCTTGAATTACTGCTTAAGTGCTAGTTTTATTTATTGAAAAATTAATATGTGTGTGTATAAACTTTCCCATAAAGCTGCGCAGAGGCAAACTGCACAGTAACGCCCAAATCTGCCTCMCTTCATAAGCACAGAACAATCAACCCTCTGTTGCAAATCAATTGAAATGATTAAACATCTTACATGAGGGCATTTTCTGTAAAATGAAGACGTGGTTACTTATCTGGGGGGGGAAAGGTTTTAAAGGACAAGTTCATAGCAAGCATATGTCAGAGTTTCCTATCTTCATTTGGTTTCATGTCTTATAAAATGTGGTAGTTTAAGAAAAAYAAAAGTGTCCTAAACTTCAGCACTGCAG